TATATTATCTCTATTGTTCCAGAATGATCACCTAGTACCAGAAGCCATCAATCACACTAAATGGCATTACATGTATCAGGGTTGCCCCTGCCAAGGTGAGGGGAGAGGCACAGGGGGTGACCGGCAAATTATTGTGATGCTGAAAATAAAGGGGATTCACATGTTTAGGAAGGGAATAAATTTAGCTGGGCTCTCTCAAGTTCGGCCCCTTAAATTTGTGATGCTTTTCCTGGCATTGTTCATATGCCTTTAAATTATACCATTCTCATGACCATGGCTCAGCACAAGGTGTTCATTTTAAATGTACCAGTCTAATTAGCAGTTATGGGACCAAATTACTGTTCTAATCATTCTATCATTTATTTTCAATACAACAAAGGGTCATTGCATAGAATACATTAATGTATAAATTGATAAATCATCTCACTTTCATTGATAAGTCAATGTACTAATTGAGTTGATCACAATATACTGCACTGCCACTGTTACTGAAGCTTGTCAGTCCTGCTCATGCAATCAGATACCTACCAAGTCCATAACTGCACTACTCCCTGTCTACCCTTAATATCTTGAAATAGCAGTTTTGGATACATACAGTAGTCCTAGACACTCTCCTGAATGTATGATTTGGGATTCAATGCAAAATCTGTGGAGATATATTGGTCAATGTATTGTAGATATCCAGACTTCAAATACTGTAGAATAATCTATTTTCTGCAAATAGTTTCAATAATTGTTTATTTTTATTATTAACTGCTCAGCAACAATGAAAACTAGTACCTAACACCCTTGAATACTTTGATAATCTTACAGTATTTAAAAATTCAAACTGCATTTGTCAAAATGTTGGATATAAATGCATCCATAAATATTAGAGTGACTAGCTCCAGAGAGGGCCTTCATATACAGTACCTCAAAGTTGCCCTGGAATTAATCCTGGATTATTAAAATAATTTAACTGGAATTTATGTCATGGTGGTGCTGCTGGAAGGTATTTGACCTGGAACATTGTTATATTGATTCGTGTTAACTGGTAACAGGAAGTGATAAGTTACAGGAGTGATATCATTGGCAATGAATATAATAGTTTGCTTGAAGTATTCTTATCTATTTTGCATAAGAAACACAACCCTGATCAACTTTTCATGTCATTTGCACCATATATTACACAGAAAAAATGTCTGTGGTTTTGCTTTCAATTATTCTATCAGTATGTTGTGTACATGTAAGTAGTGTACACTTGTATGTAAAATTGTAAATTATAGCTACAACTTTGCTACTCTATAATCCTCACTCAAATAGGAATAAATAAGGCTAGTCAAGTTTCGATCTGATAAAACTCCGCGTAAAAATGTTTTCAATTTATTTTAAAACTCACATGATTATGTTGTTCTCACTCTATAAGGCCAATTTTTTACGCTTTTTTCCCCGAAAATCCAGCAAATTACGTTTCGATTTTGATGTGTGAACTTCAAAGAAAAGCTCCTTCAGAACGCAGGAAATCTCATTTCCGAGGTCCTAGATTTCAAAATTTCCCGGGAGAGGAATTCTCCGGACCCCCCATACAAGTGCGAGGTTTAGTGCATCAGTCAACAAAACCACTGGATCCGCCCCTGTCTAGAATTCGCGCAGCGCTGTGTGCGCAAATTTTACAATTGCGCGAAATATAATCCGCGCGAAAAGCTTTGTGGTAGCTAGCAGGGCGCTTATATAGATAGATAAGCTACATTCTATACAAGCGCCCCGGTAGCTAGTAACGATAAAACGTGCGTTCAAAACTAAAAATGCCAACCAGAACTAAAACATTTATTGTATGGTTCTCAATTGCTTAATACAATAACATTAGCGTTCGACACAAGTAAGGTATGGTATCATATTTCATAATATAACGACCAATCAACAGTGTAAACTAGCCTATGGTGGCCCAGCGTTACCATAGTGATATACCTGTTTTATTTACAATAAGATGTGAAAAAATAGTTAAAATTTAATTAAAGCAATATGAAATTAAAATTTAAAAAATACATGACATAAAAATATAGAAAAAATATTTGAGTAAAATTTAAACCAAAAACAAAAAATAAACTCGAACAGAAAACAAATTCATAAATTTATGAAAACTCAAAAAACAATTAAAGGCACTAAAACATAAAAAATATAAAATAAAAAACCGATTAAGAAAACAACTTTGAAAATTTCAAAACATTTGATTTTCAATTTGATTTTTATTTTACTATGATAACGATGGGCCATCGAAACGTGTCAAAAATCAATTTCGAATGTTGCGATGGCCCAGCGTTTCCATAGCCCAGGATATCGTTGGTGAGCGGCCGTCTCTTTCGGGACAAAATGATATGCATAAATGAAGTATTGTTACCGTTGAGATCACTCATGGCATGCATCCTAAACTCTGTGAGACTGTGTATTTGTCGAGATTTTTTTATTTAATTAAAAAAGAAGAAATGTTAACTATAAGAAGAGAATTTGTGCCGAAAGTTGACGGGTATTTATTTATAGAAAACTGCAACTATGAATAACAGAATTCGAAATCCAGATTGGGAGACTGACGAAGATTTAAAATCGGATATCCAGCGGTACGTATTGCAAAACCTGAGTCGCAAAGAACTTTTAGACTTTGTGCAACGAGATTATCCACAATACGCGTGGAGTTTAACAACGCTTAGTCGAAGGATGGCTCATTTTAATATTAAATATATTGACTATGGTACCGATTTGGAAGCAGTTGAGACAGCTGTCAGGGAGGAAACTGATGGACCAGGGCAATTGCTTGGATATATGTGAATGCACAAAAAGTTACGAGAACAGCATAATTTAGCTGTACCACGTGGCGTAGTTTATGACGTTATGACTCTGGTTGATCCAGAAGGTCTAGAACGTCGAAGTAATGTAGGGAGAAAGAAACGTCACCGTGGACAAACTGGAACATTTACATCATTGGTAAGATATTTTTCATTCAAGTGGATTCCAAATGAACACCACAACAACCTTGACATTTGATTGTCTTGCAAATTTATTTAGGGACCCAACCACACTCACTCTGGCGACGGACATGACAAGCTAATGGATTACATGAACTACACTTTCCCTTTGGCAGTATATGGACTTCAAGATGCGTTCAGTGGTTACATTTTGTATTTAAAGCTTTGGACTTTTAACTCTGATCCTAAACTAATCGGGCGTTGGTATTTGGAGCACCTTTATCAAACAAGAGGTTTGAATATACACTAATGAAATTCCACCGATTGGCCAATCATGATTTACAATATTATTATATACTCAAAATGCTGTTCTCGCCAGTTTAAAAATGATGGAGTTTAAGCATATATCATTTGGGTTAAAGCCACCATTGAGTGGGGTAAATTTCAACTACTTGTCTTTAAAATTCTAATACCTGTAGACTAGTGGTAATTTTCAATGAGAACTGCATATAAGTTAATAAGTGACAAACCATTGAAAGGTAATGAGAGGGGGGCAGAAACAAATTGTGTAGGGGAAAGTAGAAAAAAAACGTTTGTGCAAGGAGGAAAGCAAATAAAAGTAAACAAAATTCTGCAAAAAAAATCCTTGACAAGCTGAAGGCTGAAAACAATTCATGCAAGCGGACCTCCCCCCCCTTTTTTCTAATGGTTTGTCACTAATGAAGCTGAGAAGATAACTTTTTGTTACATTTAACACCAGGTGTGTACTTTTGCATGAAAATATTGTGAATTATGAAATGGTGCAAATAAGTTGTACATTTTTTTGTTTCAGTGATCGGTAAGAATCTTCGATTAGATAAGGGGACCGAGACTGGCCAAATGGCTACAATTCATGCATTTTTGAGACAAACACATGGAGATGGACAAGCAAATGAGGATGCTGTTGACACAGTGCACTATGGTCCTTCCACAAGCAACAAGGTGAACTTGTTTGTTGCTTGGATCTTTGCTAGGGGCCTTTTATGCGACAGCTTTAAAAAGCAAAACAAACATTGTTAGAGCCTAAAGCTCTGTTGAGATATTTATTATTCTTGGTGTATAACAAACTGTTGTAACAAAATCCGAAATACATTATGTTGGAATTTGGAAAGAAGTAAGAATATGGAGTCTGCACCAAAAACAGTTTTATACTGCAGGAAATTGTGCTCAGAAATCAACAAAGATACAAATTTGGGGAAAAATACTGTACCATATACCTTAATAATATTATACTCTGGCTGTTTCATTTCAATTCCCCTAGATTGTAGTTTTTGAATTGGGGCATCTAAGGCACCTCTGCATGCCTTGCAGCAGGTTCAATTGGACTCCTCTTGTTCCATTTAAACTAACCTTCCAAGGCTAAATTGGATGTTTAATAATAATATGTAAATTGGATGTTTTTTAATAATACAGATTGAAAGGTGGTGGCGTGAGCTGCATCAGCGTTTTGAAAAATTCTTCAAACGGCAACTGAGGATGCTATTAGAAAGAGGACATTATGATCCACATAACCCGTCTGACAGGTACAGTGTTTATTTAGTACAGTAGATATTAGACAATTTTTTTAAAAATTTAAAAAACCATAGCTTCTATCTATTAAATGTTAAATTATTCTTTTTTTAACAGGGATCTACTTGCATTTATCTTCATTCCTGTTATTCAAAAGGAAATGAACATATTCAGAGAAACTATATGGAATTCTCACAGGGTCAGAAGTCAGAAAAATGCACAAATGCCTAAGGGGATCCCTAATCGTTTGTATTCATTTCCAGAAAACTATGGGGCTGAGGAATGTGGTACGGTACGGAAAACGAACAAAATTTTAACTACCTCATTAATTAATGTACATTAGCATATCAAGTCATCCATAGCATATCATGGCGGCTGTCAACAACAACTATTGATCCGTGCGATGAATTTTCGTTTTTAAAACCTCTATTTGAGCTTGATATTGACTGTCCTTTGATAAATATAAAGTTAAATAATACTAGAAGAGAATCCGAGAAATATTAGCCCACAGAAATGGCCTTGGAACAGAAAAAAAGCGAATTATCTATTACGAAGCCTGACTCGACATTCGCACGCTACAGCTACGATCAATTTAAAAAATCAAGGTCAGCAAAGTCTGTGCCACACGAATCATTAGACTTTACGATATACAAATCTAGCTCAAACTGTGTGGCATTTTTAACGTCCGAAGAACGCTTGATAAAATGGATTCAAGCGATATATGAACGCTACCACGTGCGATTACAAGATGCGACAACGACATCGAAGATGAAAGCGGTTTGGGAGGAACTACAAAACGTAAGCGATACCTCAAAAACAGATAAAATTTCTATCCACCTCTCACTGCAGAATGATGATATTGTAGAAAACATTGTCACGATAATAATATATTGTACCACGGGGAGAATCCAAATACAAGGAAAATCCCTTCACGAGTGGGGAGATGTTGAATTTAATGTTCTGCGTAACATGGTAGACGGAAAACCCGAATCCAAAGATCTTGATGAATTTATCGAAGCCATCACCCAGAAAACTTCTGGCGAAACAAAGAACACAAACGAGGACTGCAAGATTGCTAAGTCAGAAATAAAACCGGAGAACGAAAAGATATCGGACATTGCCCCAAATAACCCTGAGCATTCAACAGAAAGCCCAACAAGAGGCAAATCATTCAACGAAGTAAAACACTCAGTAGCAACCCTGGAATCTGAGTTTGTCTTGTTTAAACAAGAAACCCTCAAAATATTTGAGAACATAAAAATAACAATGAAAGAGAAAGATGATGAGATAACCGAACTAAAACAAAGGGTTGCTTCACTTGAGGCAACAAATGAACTTCTACAAAACGAAGGAAATGACTATAAACTATTGATAAAGAAACAAAATACGCTAGAAAAGAAAGTTAAGCTACTGACACATGACAACAAACAAAAATCTCCCACTACACCAATACCACCTACAGAAGAGCAACCATTAACAACCCACTACACAATCCCAATAAGCAATATGTTCAACCCACTAGATAATGACTGTGAAGAAAATGGAAAACCCACAACGAAGAAAACTGTCACTGCTGAAACAATTATACTGTGTGATTCAAATGGAAAACACTTAGATCCAAAACTTCTTTGCCCTGGCTCACCTACCCAATACATAAGATGCCCAACAGTAAATGGAGCTACAAAAATACTCGATGAGTATGAGTTTACCTCCCCCCAGACCTTCGTCATCCATTCAGGAACCAATGACATTGAAAGTACCAATTGCAAAGAAGTCTGCAACAAACTTACAACCCTAACTACGTACATAACTACAAAATACCCAGACTGCCGAATCCTACTTTCAAGTCTCCTTCCTCGATCCGACCATCTTCTACAACGAGTTCAACTGCTGAATAGCGAGATTGAAAAGATCCAATCACCAAACATAATTCATGTGAAACACCATAACCTCTTCAGATCCACAAACATCTTATATGACAAAAAACACTTAAACCGGAAAGGTGTCAAGTTGTTTGCCAAGAATTTGAAAGGGGCTTTCGTTGCCAGAAAGAATAACAAAACAAAGCAGCAACATTCTCACAGCAACCTCTACAACTACCATTACCCTGGAAGAGACCATCATCATCTGATGCCTCGAAACTATCCACCACCAAGCTTCCAACCACCGACATTCCATCAACCACGACCACCGACATTCCATCGGCCACAACCACCAACATTCCATCTCCCTCAGCCACACCAACCAACACTCAGCCATCCAAATAAATCATGGCACAGGACGAAATCAGTAGCTATCATCATGGTTAAAGGTGGCGTAAAGCGATGTTATTGGCGGCTTTATTCACATTTAATCAGTTTGATTAAATTTAGTAAATGTACCTAAACTCTTCTTTCAGCATGCAGATTAAAGATTTTTCTGGAGGCTTTAAATGTCCAAATTATAGTATAATTATAGATGATTAAAGACGACCTATTAAAGAATGAGAAACGTTTGTTTAAAGGGAATTAAAGGTTTCTAACTTGTCTTTAACTGCGAAGAGAAATGAGTTGTAAAGGTACCTTCTAGCTACATATACAAAGCTTTTCTGCTCTGGTATTTTACATCTTTAATCACATTTAATGTGGTGTTGAAATTGTAAAAAGGTGCATGTCTTTACTCAACTTTAAGCAAAGGTGTTTTGAATCTTTATTTTACCTTTAATCACATTTAATATGTGTTGAAATTGTGAAAAGGTACCTGTACATGCCTTTACTCAACTTTATGAAAAGGTGTTTTGTATCTTTATTTAACCTTTAATCACATTTAATGTGATGTTGAAACTGTGAAAAGGTACATGTCTTTACTCATCTTTAAGCAAAGGTGTTTTGTATGTTTATTTAACCTTAAAGCACATTTAATGTCGTACGAAAAGAACAGAAAAGAAACGTATATTGTCTATTTGACGTTTCCATTTGCCATTTAAATACCCATAGTATTGTTTAACCATTAATGATTAAACATTAATGGTTAAACAAACTATTCAAAATCGCAAATGCAAATGTCAAATAATAATAGTTACAGTTAAGCCATGTTTTAGATATTTTCGTTAATAAATTGTACGTGCAGGTAAGATGATCAATAAAACAAAAGTAATGCCATTCATAGATCTCTCTGGCGTTTCCCAGATTTGAACGTAATAGCAAACAAGCTGCTCCAGTGCCGAGTTTAATAGCAAAGCAGGAAGTAATGTCTCCAAAGACAAAAAAAAAATTTCAGCACACATAATTTTTTCTTCAATTTTATATTTACCATATAAATAACATAAAAATCTGCCATGCAGAATAAATGCATATCGTATAAACAGTGTAAATTACGCAAACTCATAAATTTGATTATCAAATTATTACGTGCAGAATGAAAACCCACGAATAAAAACCTTTCAGTCTAACATTTCTATTTAGAATTTTGTATGAACCTGTTTAAGAAGCCATGCAGGTTCCCAACAAATATATAAAGCACTCTTAATACATTAGAACATGGAAAACTTTGGGTGATATATCGTGGGTCTTTACTATACTGAAAAACTATAGCAATCAGAGTCATGATCATTTAAAATGTCATTAACAGAGTCATTCAGCGAAGAGCCACTAGGGATAATGACTGGGCACTCTCATCAACAACATTACCATCCTTGTCCTTAGCTGCCCACTCCGGGAAGTCGTTTGGCTTAGGTTGAATGGAGGGCTGTCCATCCTCGCGAGGAACAATTCTGCTCCGTACCAGTTCTGACAAAGACAAGGTGTGGAGCCTGTCTAACTTTTTCTTTGCCCTTCGTATAGAGATGGACTCTCCCAGGGTAGCCTACGAACGTTGTAACGCATGATCCTTTTTGTTGTTTCGTTGACCTCGCTTCCTTCTGATGACATGTACAGCAGCCTGCCCTCATAACATCGAACACTCTTGCAGTTTTCTGGGCACCCCAATTTGCCTTTTCCACGTGCTTCAGCCTGCGTGCAAGTCTCTAAAGAAAGATACAAAATAATAACAAATAAGCTTGACACTACTACAAGTTCTTAGCAAACGTATAGTACAAATGTTGACTATTGAGTTCACACAGTACAATTTTGTATCAAATGTTGATTTGATGATTGGATGACATTGCCTGGATGACTTTTCCTTCCACCGTATGCGCGTTGTTCAGACTCTGAAAGTTCTTTAAATTCTTCTTCATAATCATTTTACACACTTTTCGTCGCAGGCGACATACAGTAGGTAATTTGGGGGGGGAGGGGGGGGGTGTTAGGTAGACTGCTTATGCATGCCACAACTTTGCTCAGCAAGAAATCCGACTTTGGAAGCCATACAGATTCATCCACGAGGTTATCGAGGCATTACAAGCAATGAGCATAAAAATGTCATTTACTGCATGTATTTAAATTTATACATTGCTCGGGGAGACAAAGCAAAAGGTAACTTTCAAATAGAGTGTCACAAATGTCACAAACACCCAAAGACGGATGTTTTAGATTGAGCAACCCCCTTGAAATACAAAGCTAAATTAATGCCTATCAAAATTAAATGCAGTGTTATAAGTTCAAACCTCGTCCTTTATAAAATAATAAAAATTCAATCTTAAAAAATTGGTTATACTGTGTAAATTAATGCTAAAGCTGTTAACAAATCTTCAAAGTCTTTAATCCCTTGCTGTGTGTTAATGTTGGTGGAAAATTTAAACACGCAAAATAATTTGTTCTGGATGTTCACGAGAACTTGTACCAAATCATATGTAAAAACCGCGTAAACATTTTAAAGACCATGATGTTTGTGATGTTACTCTGAGTGTATATCCACACCAAGCAAGCTTGACAAAAATATGCCTGGCTACGGTGGGAATCGAACCTATGACCCTTGGAATACTAGCCAAATGCTCTGCCAACTGAGCTACGAAGTCAGGTCGGTTCGAGTAATACTATGTGATTTTCGGAAATGAGCCTAGTTACTTTGATAACAATGCAATCTAATAATCATGATTTTTTCTGTGTTGGTGTAATGTATTCAGGTGAATATGATGCTTGTGATGTCACTCTGAGTGTATATCCACACCGGGTAAGCTTGAAAAATATGCCCGGCCTCGGTTGGAATCGAACATATGACCCTTGGAATACTAGCCCAATGCTCTGCGGCCTCTGCCAACTGAGCTACGCAGTCAAGTTGGTTCGAGTATGTGATATTTCAGAACTGAGTCTAGTTCTTTCGATATCAATGCAATCTAGTAATCATGATAGCTCAGTTGGTAGAGCATTGGGCATTCCAATGTCGTAGCTTTGATTCCCACCCTGGCCTGGTCTATTTTTCAAACTTCCCCGGTGTGGTTATACACTCAGAGTATCATTGCACAAACATCATATTTACCTGAGTACATAACACCAACACAGAAAAAATCATTTTAAGGACCATTCATACCGTGCACATGCAAAGGTTGTCACATGCAATAGTCAATTCAACAATCCAAAACGCAAATATTTTTGACAAAATGCAAGCAAATGCATATAATATTGCTGGCATGTGACATTTGACTACTGCAATACAGCATTGCTTGTGACAACATCATAAGAATTAGCTGCATATTTTACTCTTTCTATACTATGCTCAAAAGACTTTAATTAAATCAAATTTTGAGACATGTGCTATGTACAAGTACAGTACAATTGTCTAGCTTTAGTCATATATAGGACGATTCTCTGGTGTGAGCAAAACTAAAGTGATACCACTATAGACGTTGCCGTGTTGGGAGTTTTGTGACCCCCCCAACATATATCGCCTGGTAATTAATATTGAAAAATTGACAGAGTAAAGTATGGTAAAGTGATTACCAGAATCCAGATACCACAGGAGTTACCGGTATAAGGTTTTAAAATATATCTATTGGGCCAAAAAAATATGTGGGTTTCCCGACGCTACCTACCTTTTGGACGTCGAAATCCCGACCCTAAACTTTTTTATTGGATCATGCTTGTAAGTGTTTCCACTTAGAGGAAAAAGTTCGTGGAAAATTGAAATTTGAGGCAATATTAGGGAAATTTATCTAATTTGGATGTGAACCCACTGACTAAACAAAATGGCGTTCATTTGTTTGGAAAATTTAAAAAAAAGTTTAAAAAAAATTAAAACCGACCTACCCTACCTAAGTTTTTATAAGAAGAAACCGGAAACCCACATATTTTCTTTGGCCTTGGGGAAGACAATTACAAATACCATAAATACTGTGTACACCATACCTTTTATTAAAACAGTTGTGGCACTCCATACTCTTGAGCCAGTTCCTTGGAAACCTTGGAATACAGCATGATGTTGTGTTGAGAGTCAACACTAAAATTAAAACAGAATATTTAGTATAGCTGTATAAGATGACTGTACGCCTGCAACAGTGCCGTAGCTAGAACCGATAATTGGAGGGTGGGGGTGTATATTCATATATTCATGTTCATGTAGTGTAACAACGTTAACAATTACTTTCAAAATAAATCCGTCAGGCAGAACACGAATATATGGATATACACCCCCAATGATCAGTCTAGCTACGGGCCTAGCTGGCCTGCAAATACAAGTTAACTTGATATTTTCTGTGTTGGTGCAATGTACTCAGGTGAATAAGATGCTTGTGATGTTACTCTGAGTGTATATCCACACCGGGCAAGCTTGAAAAATATGCCTGACCACGGTGGGAATCGAACCTACGACCTTTGGAATGCTAGCCCAATGCTCTGCCAACTGAGCTACGCGGTTGTACTTGTTGGCTTTCACCAAACACAGACAATATCATTATTACTAGATTACATTGATATCGAAGGAACTAGATTCTGTTCCGAAATACTCGAACCGACCAGACCGCGTAGCTCAGTTGGCAGAGCATTGGGCTAGCATTCCAAAGGTCGTAGGTTCGATTCCCACCGTGGTCAGGCATATTTTTCAAGCTTGCCTGGTGTGGATATACACTCAGAGTAACATCACAAGCAACAAGTTAACTTGTATGAATGTGGTCATTGTGGTGTTTCATAAATATAATGTTAGTACACAAAGTTACCTTTCATCAAACGTATGCTAGATTACTCTCATAAGCATTCAATGCTTTCAGTTTATGACGAACATAATCCTATAAAAAATGAGATATATGTTAAAGCCACAATCCCTCCTGGTGCACTTACTATATTGCTATTTTACACTGTACACAGCTTTAATAGTGCCTCAAGAAATTTAACACAAAAAGTAAATTCAAATTTCGCAAGCAAGAAAGAGAAGCCAGGGTACCCGAGCTGGTCTGGTTTTGGAGAGACACCACCTTTGGTATTATTTCTTGTCAATTGTCCAATTTAATCTTGTGATAACATGAAAACTGAACTGAC